AATGAACTCACAATTTTTTATTGAATTCAGGTTGGAAGAGATTTTATCGACTAAAATTCTGATATAGGATGTAAATGTGGAAGGCCCGTTGAGTTGAGTAGATGATGAATTTGACAACGTGAAAATTCTGAAATCCCAAAGAACTATAAAGATTCCTACCCATCCAGTGGAGCCCGGTCCCTTTTAATAAATCCAGCCCCTCTGTCGCACTCTGTCCCAACACACACACACACACACACACACACACACACACACACGCAGATGGGAAAAGTTAAAAAAAAAAAAACACCATAAACTCCAGCATTTTGTCTCAGAAATGTATCCAGATACCTCCCACTTACACAATCCCATCCACCCTTGTTCTCAACCTTTTCGGTTCTTCTAACCCACGGCCCCGTTTATTTTTGCCCACCCTTTCCTGCGATCAACCCCACTCCGAAGATTATCAAACTTATTTCCACATGCTGGGATTCTAAGACTTCTCTTCTCCTCTCGGACCCTTGTACGTTTTTTCCAGACGGGTTCCTAGATCTCCAATCTCCTGCTCATGAAGAACAACAAAACGATGACCATAACATCGGCCAATGTTGACAGAGTGCAATGGGTCGGACACTATCTTACATGCTGAATTCACAGACGCATCATCTTCATATCTTGTCACTCCCCTTTACAGATGAGGCAACTGCAGGAGACAGATGGAGCGTCACGCTCAAGGTCATAGCGTGCAACTTGTCAGAACTGGAATTAGACCTCAGGCTGCGTCTTCTAACCACTGCCTCTGTCCGTACATCCAGCCGGATGGGACTTTCTAGGATTCTACTTCTACCCTTTCCCTCCGGGAGATATGACCGTGAGCTTGATATTTGCCAATGGGCAATAAGAAGCCCAATTATTAAACACTAGTATTTGAGATCCACCACCAATGGACTTCACCTTGACTGCCCTTGCCTTGGCTGGCCAACCTCACCCTTCTTTGTAATAAAGGGCTCATGTTGGGAAATAATTGGCCCTTCTCCAGGCCATCCCTCTCCATGCTTAAACTTATGTACTTGCCAAGTTCTTTCTGTACTTAGAACATCCTACTTCCTTCCCATCCACCACTCCAAAGACTCAGCTGAGGGGCTGAGAACCCTGTGAATGACAGGGTAACTGGAAATGCTGGCCAGCATGGATTGCCCCTTGGTCTCAGACCCCGTGGGAGTTTATGTGAGAGGATACAGTGTGAGCCGACCAGTCAGTTCACTTGATGTGTAAGCCTGGCCGCTCCTAAGGAAGGTAAGAGTCTTGCCCAAGTCATACAGACTTTACTTACATTTTATGTATCATATAAATGTCATCATATGATATACAAAATTTAAGATCTATAGGATTTAGGCAAGACTCCTTCTTTTATACGTAGAAGTATATATGTGAGTATATACCTTTTTTTTTTTTCAACGATCTCCAGCCAAAGACTGCCAGAAGCACACCAATAGTTAAGCAAGTCAGACTTAACTACTCTTTGACATACAAGAGAATGTATATATCACGGGGAACTCTGGGGTGTATCACCAGAATAGTGTCAGAAGGAAAGTGTAGGATTTGAGCTTCTCTTAGGTGATTTGGGGAATGTTTCAAGGAAGTAGGGTTTTGTTCTCAATTGGGTCCTATCAGTAAGCGAACACAATCCTGGAACAGCTACCTCAATAAACCTTATCCAAAAGGAAGGAAGACCAGCTCAAGGCTAAAACTGTAATTGGCAGAAGCAGCGGTCATACGTATTAACTGGAGGGAATACTTGGTATTTCGGGGGTTTGTATGGTGACCTTCCTTTTGTCTGTCCGTAGACAAGATGATGTGGTCTTGCTGGTGTCTTGATCATCACAATCACAGATGATCTTGATGGCTATTGGTGTTTTGTGAAATTAGTGACCTTCAACAGAAGAGCACCACAGCCTAGCTGCAAGTACCAGGCCACCTCCTCAAGGCCTCGCCAATAGAACATCCCATGTTGGAGGCTGCGTGTGCGTAAAAGACAATAGAACAACTGTAAAAGGAATTAGAACCAAACTATTCTGGATGAAGCAGGAGTCCTTTCAGGCTCCCCGCAGATGCATTCTGAGTTGACAAACATTTGCCTAGCGGGCATATTCCACGACTTGCGATGGCTTTTGTACGCGGTCAACTTAGGGGAAGCTGGAACTCTGCAGAATTCCCTTCCTTGTGTGATTGCAGGGAGGGCTGGAACCAGAGAAACTTAAGTGATATTTGAAGAGGGGAGTGGAGCAGCTACCTCCACGCTCTGAAAGGTGGTAGCATACGAGTAACTGGGACAGTTCGTATACATTGTCACTGATCCCCCAGCTTGCCTTGCCGGGGAGGGACAGCACCCAGGCCCGCAGCTCCTCTAGCACGTGCTGGAAATCTGCTTCCATCTTCTCCGAGTGTCCTGAAGGAGGTGTGTGTACAGCTACATGCAAGGGGTGCCAGCTTCTCCTGAAGGTCATTGAGATGGGGGACAGCAAGGGAACACATGGTCTCAGCTTGTCCTGGCTTTGTCAACTTCCCATCCAGCTTTCTGGCCCTATTGACTTAGCTTCAACACCACATGCAAAGGCAACAGCCTCCCACAGACTTGCTCACCACTGCCCACAGCTGTATATGGTTGGGAATTGATGGTCCAGGTGGGGGATCAGGAATCATAGACACCAGCTCTAAGCCACATGCCCTGCTCAGCGCTTTACGTGACACGTCACTGGATCATCTCAGTTATCACAAAAAACAGGTTTTATTATGTCGGCCTAACAGTTGGTGAAAATGAGGTAGTGATGTTGGGTCACTCGCCCAAGGTCATTCAGAAAAGGAATTGAAAAGCAGAAATTTAGGAGTGCCTGGGTGGCTCAGTGGGTTAAGCATCTGCCTTTGGCTCAGGTCATCATCTGAGGTTCCCGGGATCGAGTCCTGCATAGGACTCCCAGCTCAGCAGGGAGTCTGCTTCTCCCTCTGCCTCTGCCCATCCCCCTGCTTGTGCTCTCTCTCTCAAAATAAATAAATAAAATCTTTAAAAAGAAAAGAAAAAAATCTTAATTCAGTTCTTTTTGCTCCAACTTCTGCTATGCCTCTCAAGATCCAAGTTTCTAGGCTTAGAGAAAAGAAGGAAAAAAACCTTTGAGCAATCTAGTCAAACACAGTATTTGTTGAACCCAATACTCCAGCCCCAGTTAAGGCCTCAGATGACTAAAACCCCATGCCAACCTCAGCTCCCTAATTCCTGGTCCACTGAATCTGGGAGAAAATAAATACTGCCTGTTCTAACCCACGAGCATTAGGTGTTTGTTACTCAGAAGTCAGTAACTAGTACATTGCTCTAAGATTAAGCCATGAGACAGGAGGTGGGTACAGACTATGGAAAGCCCCAAGAAAGCCTGAGAGAAACATAAAGTACCAGAAACTGTCTCCTGCCTCTGGGGACTAAGTAAAGACACAGAGATGGCAAAGCAGGTTGGAAGACAAATGTGTCCTAACCTCCTGTGTTGGGGTTAAAGACCAGAGGTCAAAATGTTCTCTAATATGTTGAGAAGGAGTAGTGTTCCTGCTTGGGCGTATAGGAGGTCAATGTCTTCCAAGGTTCCCTGTCCCAGCCCTGGGCTCTCAGCCCTCATGAAGGTCAGATAAGACTGGGTTGTTCCCGCGAAGCCCCAGAGGGAGGAGAGGGAGGTCACCAAGAGTCTGGCTGGGTGGCTGCCAGAAAAGGCTCTCACTGGGGCAGTGAGACACAAACCAGGGTCAAAGGGTGTCACCCCCACTTCTCAGGAGTGCCAGTGTCAGCCAGGGGTAAGGAGGAGCCACACCAGAGGGAGGACTGCTGGGCTCCAGGGAAGCGGAGAGAACACAGTGCAAGTGTCAGTGGTTGCAGCCACAGTGCCCGAGGTCAGTGTTAGCAGAATGGCCAGGAATCGGAAAGACCCACCACACGCGCCCAAGAAGCCAGCAGGCCCTCAGGAATCCTATTGTGTTCCTGTACTTGAAGTCCCCCAGCCTCTCCAGCACCATCTGGGGGGCAGGAGACTGGCCAAGAGAGCAGAGAAGGATAAAAGACTGAGTCTACCCCCTGTCCCCTGACCCCCAAAGTGAGTGTTCCTGAACAGATCGCTTCGGGGTCTGGATTGAATTCATTTTTTTTCCCTCCACTATCCAGGGGGAGCCAGATGGGGCTTGAAAGGAAAATCCCATCAGTTAGAGAAACCAGGGAAGCTTCCATTTCTTGGCATATCTCAATCTAGTGTGAGTAAGGAGGTGATGACGATTCAGATGCCGTGAAAACATGTCATCAAGCTTGACAGAGGTTCAAAGCTGAGTTTTGTGTTAGATTGAGAACATGAGAACCAGAGAGGACACTGGCAATCATCTAATCCTTGGTATTTCCCTCTGTTTGTGCCTTATCGGATGGCCTCCCTTGTCGTTCCTCCTCCAGCCCATAACCCAGCACAATCAGGGGCTGGTATTGAAAAGACAGCATCAGTTTTGCCATATGCACTGTTTGGAAATGACAACTTGATCTATTCTAAAGGGCTGTCACCAAGCCACTGCCCTGAGAAGCAGCATGTATGAATCAGAACAGCTCATTTGTTCTGTAGGTCAGAAGCCAACCCTCATTTTATTAAAATATATACAAGGGATTGAGAAAGAGAAGGACCACGCTTTACTGCAGCAATGTACACAGAAGCCAAGGCCGCATCCGAGCTCTGCTGTCCTGGGCGGTCCCACAGACGGCTCCTTGGAATGTGGTCAGGCTAGAGTCTTGGAAGAGACCTCATGAATCTCAGACTTCTTGGCCACGCCTCTTGACCAGAGCTGGCCATGACATTGACACCACGGGAGGGAAGGCTGGCAAGGCCATGCAGCTGGTGGAAGGGGGACCACTGCTTTGCTATTTGCATGGTCTCTTTGGAGGGAACTCAGTTCTTGCTATCAGCCCTGCTATTTTCAGAATGGTCTCAGCAGCCAGGGTCACAGTGGCTCCCAGGTGAGCTCTGCTCCCTCTCCACTGAGTTTCAATCTTGAAGTCAGAAGCCCTGGCCCAGCCAAGTTCACGGGCAGAGTCAAGCTTCAGGCCCACACTGCCTCGTGCCACACACGTCTGGATGGGACGGACGCCCGAACAGCGTCTCCACCGGCCTGAGGCTCACTTCATGTTTCTCTCGATCCAGTCTTTAAAAGGCAGGACCTTGCTGAAGGCCGTGTACAGGCTGTGGCCGCAGTCCCTGTCATAGCTCCAGCTGACCAGCCCCACCAGATGCCAGCGTGGCTCGGGGGATGCCCGTCCGGGGAAGGCCACAGCAGCGATGCCTCCCGTCTCTGCTGTGCAGATATCAGAGGGGGCGGCGGGATCCCGGGTGGCACAGAACATGTTGTCCGTGACGCTCACGGGGATGCCGTGTTCTTCGTGCTGCTCCTCACACAACAGCGGGTCCACAACCCTGACCCCCCCTGAGCGCAGCGTGTCGTTCTTGAAGCTGGGGCTTCTTGCATCTGCCAGCACGTTCCAGCCGGCCACGGTGATGCGGGTCTCCTGGAAGGAGGCACTCAGGTCCCGCGGGGCCGCCAGGCAGATGGGCTGGACGTGGGTGCTGACGCGAGCCTTGTCCAGGAGCTTCAGGATGGCGATGTCCGTGTCCAGCAGGATGGGGTCGTAGTTGGGATGCAGGATGACTGCGGAAATCTACAAATGCAAGAGATGGACGGCAGAGGTGAGCCCTCCACCACACAAGGAATAAGAGGCAAGTCCTGGGGCTAAATTACCGAGACAAAGTGTCTTGGGGACAGCTACAAAGATTTGGAGAGTCTTTGCTTCAGGGATCATAGAAAACAACGGCTTTACTTGGGGGGTTGTGGAGTGAAATGCCCACCGCCGCCTGGCAGGTGGTGTTAACTAAGTGGGGTGGCAGATGGGGCTGCCGAGAACAGGGGTGCCTACCCCATCCGAAGTGGGTAGTGGCCACTGGGCTCCGCTGGCCACTGCCAGGCCAAGAGGGGGCTGACTTTCTGACTTTCTCAAAAAAGAGATTCCAGATCTTCATCTGAACCTCCTGATTTTTAAATGTTGGCAAATAACTGGTTAAAAAAAAAATGTGTGCTAGCATTATGCAAACACAAACCCCTAAAAGACTACCAGATTGCAACCTCTGGCTCCGGGTAAACAAAGCCACACCCAGAATGTTCCACAAGACTATTCCACAGTCTTTGCTGATTGTCCCAACCCTTGCTGATCATTGTCTTTGATGGGGGCCTCTAGGAGCTCACACGTGTGATACAGTCTAACATTTTTATGCGCAGGTTCTATTACTTCAAGTATATTTGGGTACATTTCCTCGGGGCTTCTCTTGTGTCAAACTAATCACAATATGCTGGTCTCTTCACTGGCCTGTGGACTCTTCAGGGCAAAGACCGTGCCTTTTTCCATACCTTACTCAGTTTTGTATCCATTCCTGTGAATGGCATTCTGTGAGAGCTCAACAATGAGCAGAGAGATGGACAGATGGGTGGACAGAGAGAGAGGAGGGTGGGTAAGTGGACAGAAGAGAGAGGGGGAGGGAGATAGGCAGAGAAGACAGAGGAATATTAAAGATCGATTAGGAGTATCTTGGATAAAACCTAAGTCCTCGAAGCCTACCTTGTACAATGCCCTAAACATAACAGGAGATTAACTTCTGATGACCACAGTGATAGATGATATTGTTATAATCTTATTTTGAAAACAAAAGGATAAAAAGGTTCCGTAGTCTTTCTAGATGTGCCTTTCTAGTATGTATGTGAAATACTGGGCACCTGCTCCCTGCCAGGCTCTGGGCTGGATGCTAATGTGCCAAGGCGTCAGGATGGACACAGCCACTGCCCACCCCCACCACGGACACCCCGCCCCCCGGAGTTTGCTGAGCCAACACCTGGTTTCCAGGTTACAGCCCTCTCTTACCCGTAAGTTCTGGATGGTCTTCTCATCTCGGTCATCATCCCGGTAGAATTTCCCCAGGACAACTTTGAGGTCTGCTGTCTTGATCATGGTGACCTTCCCCAGGTCGGTTACGCAGTGGGCAGCCACCACCACAGTGCGCTCATTCACCAGCGCGCCGCTGCAGACCAGGAACCACGTGTCCTTGTGCAGGCTGCCACCGTGTACCCCGCTGGCCCTCCTGTAGATGGCCACCTGCCATGGCCAGCGCAGTCCCGGGCTCTTGGAAACAGTGACGTTCTCTGTTTTCCCACAGACTGTGGAGAAACACCAGCTCAGTAAGATAAACTCAGACCTTTCCATGCAAAGGGGAATGTGTTGTCCAACCAAGAGAACACAGATCTGGAAAGGTGGGTCCATGGGTGTCATGACCACTATGTAGTAATCAGCCACCTTGACATGGTTGGCTATAAAGTCTGGGGTTAAGATGGAAGGCTTGGGATCCTAGGCTCTTCCTATCAACAGGACTTTGGGCAAATTGCCAGAGCTCTTAAAGCCTCAGTCTTCTTGCCTGAAAAATGGGTCTAATAATCACATCTGTCTCATAGGGTTTTTGAGGAGACTAGATGAGGATCTATACAAACAGACTCAAAATATTATGGCTATCATGATAAACTTGACCACAAAGAATTAAACCATACTGCTGTCCTTTGACAAAGCGGGTGGGGAAGGTAGAACTTGGTATGTGCAAGACCCTTTTCCAGAGTCCTCCACATACTATTTTAGTCATTATCACCATAATCATATGGGTACTTAACACCTCATCGCCTAATCAATAACTGCCTATTGAATACCATGGGATGATAAGCATGAAAACGGGCTTGGACAGGGTATCCAAGACCGCCTAAGTAGAAGTCTTCTGATATCGTTAACCCTTCCCCCACTTGGGGCTTCATTATGGTTCTCTCTCTCTGCCACTCCCCTGCATGGGGGCTCTCGCTCTCTCGCTCTCAAATAAATACATAAAATCTTTTAAAAAATAAATAAAAAATAACAATCTACAAGGAGGTATGGCCCCTCCAAAAAAATTCATCGAAGACCTAAAGAGTCCGTTTCTCCTGAGTTAGAAGTTTGTGTCAAGGGAAGGAAGCTCCAGCTGCGGACTATCAGACATAACCAAGCTACGGAATTAGCTGGAGGCCCACTGGCCGAAGCAGCTTAGGACAGATGCCACCCCAGCCCCTGTCCCGGGAGGAGCCCTGACTCACTGGGGACACAGGATGGGGCTTGCCCGCTCCACTTCCCGGTCCTCAGGCACGTCCTGCGGCTGCTGCCCAGGCGGCGGTAGAAAGGCGAGATGCACTCGTACTGGAGCTGGGTGTGCAGATGCTGGAACCCGGGCGGCAGGTCTCCAAAGGGAAGGGCGGGCTTCTTGGTGGGGGCATCCTGCAGTTTCTGCTTGCTGAAGGATGCCGAGTAGAGCTGGTGTAAAGGCGTCTGCCTACATGGGGACCCAGGGCCCAGAGAGAGCAGCGCAAGAGACGGTCACCGTGGCCCTGTAGTGTACGTGCCAAGCCCCAGGCTGACATCTGATCATGGCAGAAAAAAATATGGCTATCTCTCCTCTGCGGATCTCTATACCTCCTGCCTCCACCCCCAACTCCCCGTCCTGGCCACCTCTCTCTCTCTCTCTCTCTCTCTCTCTCAGGTGCATGCGCACACACAATTCCCCTCTACCACCGAGTAAATTCTCTCGCACCCCTCCACCTTCATTCCGTGCCTCTATTTCCATTTCTGGCATGCTTCCAGCTGTCTAGGATTTTAACCAGGGAATACTATCCGGCATAAGGGCTGCTGTCCCAGGGTAGGCGATACAGGCACACAGAGAAAAATTAACTGTGATTTAAACAGGAAAGGAAATTCATCAGAAGCCGGGAGTCTTTTTTTCTCCAGACATTATCATAATGGAGCAATATCACGAATTGACTTGAGCTAAACTGTGTGGATACAGTAGCTTGATTTAGCAATCAGCGTCTGTAATTAGTACACCTCAGAGATTAGGGCTTTCTCAGAGCGCGCCGATTGGCAGAAATTCAGAGCATTGTGTGTAAATGTGAAAAGGCCTTTCAAATGAGCACTGGAAGCTGAAGCCCCCAGAGACCCCTCCGGGATTCTTGGGGGAGACGTACACCCCTTGGACAGCCTGCGTTCATTTTATATCAGCGCCTAACGACCACTAACTGAGAAGTTAGAATTCCTCTAGGAAACAATGTGTTCATCTCTGTTTAATGAATGGGGAAAGGAAGCCCAGAGGGGGAAGCGGGACTAGAGATGGGCACACAGGAAGCTAAGATGGTCCTCAAGGCAGCACTCAGCAAATAGGATTCACAACCTGGTGTCTCTACTGTGCCATCTGATATCATCGTAAGAAATCTATTTGATGAGTCTGTTCAGTGCTTCCCTCAGAGCAAACGTTCCATCCACATTGATTTCATTCAATGAATCTTTAGCTTGTGTTTATAACAAGGTCTGCGGTTCAAGGAGCTTCCGAACTGGCAAACCAGCTAGCTCATCTTTTGGTCCATCTGTTGAAAGACTACACTGCCTTTTGTGGTCCTTGGGTGACCAGGCTGCTGAAGATAGGTATATCCACATTCCAGCAGCCTGTCTTCCAGAAAGATCCTTAAAACCAAGTTATAGGCTTGCTTTTTCATCCATGTGAGCCACCTGGCTCCTTGTCACCTAGCCTCCCATTACAATTGCTTTAAAAATTCCACGTTGGAGAACAGTGTGGAGATTCCTCAAGAAATTAAAAATAGAGCTTCCCTATGACCCTGCAATTGCACTACTGGGTATTTACCCCAAAGATACAGATGTAGTGAAAAGAAGGGCCATCTGTACCCCAATGTTTATAGCAGCAATGGCAACGGTCGCCAAACTGTGGAACCAAGATGCCCTTCAACGGATGAATGGATAAGGAAGATGTGGTCCATATACACTATGGAGTATTACGCCTCCATCAGAAAGGATGAATACCCAACTTTTGTAGCAACATGGACGGGACTGGAAGAGATTATGCTGAGTGAAATAAGTCAAGCAGAGAGAGTCAATTATCATATGGTTTCACTTACTTGTGGAGCATAACAAATAGCATGGAGGACATGGGGAGATGGAGAGGAGAAGGGAGTTGAGGGAAATTGGAAGGGGAGGTGAACCATGAGAGACTATGGACTCTGAAAAACAATCTGAGGGGTTTGAAGGGGCGGGGGGTGGGAGGTTGGGGGAACCAGGTGGTGGGTACTAGAGAGGGCACGGATTGCATGGAGCACTGGGTGTGGTGCAAAAACAATGAATACTGTTACGCTGAAAATAAATTTAAAAAATTTTTTTAAAAAAATGCAAAGTGCCGTGGTCTTTTAGTAGTCCAGGGGCTCCTCTACAAGATGTGTTGTTGGAAAGAACAGGTTCATCCCACTTAGTGAGGAGTCCAGCTCCAAGCAAATTATAAAGATCAGAAAAAGATGGAATTTGTATTCCACTGTCACTGTTCCCAAGGAAATGTCCTGCCTGAAATGGGAAAGACAGAGATAGAAGGAAATATCCAAGGGAAAGGTAAGAGATTGATGGATATCCTGCTTTAGGAGTATTTCAGGTCACTTGGCTGGGGTCGGTTCTAATCACTGGGATTCATTGTGACCATTCCTGAAAGCAAAAGCTGCTACTCACAGCTGTTCACTTGTGCGAGTGTTCTGCTGAAGCCTTTCCATCGGGCTGGGCAGCAGCTTAGTGCCTAAGACCCTGAACACTATGAAGATCCCGGATTCGCATCCTGGATCTACAGTCCGCAATGTGATCTGGGCGAGTTAATGAGTTTCTCCAAGCCTCACTTTACCCATCTGTACTAAAATTGGTAAGAAACCCTACCAGGAAATGGCAATAATAGTAAAACCTACCTCAGAGGTTGCAGGAAAGATTAAATGAACAAACAGTTGCAAGGCACTCAGAGGAGGAACGGGCATGTAGCGAACACACAGTAAGTGCTTCCTCGCTCCGCCTGCCGCATCTAATCCCTACAGCAATCCCCAGAGATGGGTGTTATCGGGATTGCCCTTAGTTTTCAAAAGAGGAGACTAAAGGCTTAGCAAGATCAGGAACTTGCCAAAGAATACTAGATACAGAGCTTAAGAGAGCCCAAATCTGGTCTCGAGCCATTATTTGTCAAACCCATTCATTCATTCATTCATTCACTGTTTGGGGTGGTTGTGTTTTTTTTGGGGGGTGACTCCTCTGCAGCAAGCATTGCTCTTGGCCCCAGAACTTGAACATGAACAAAACAGAAAACGTTCCTGCACTTATAACTTTTACACACTTATTTTGGTGGGGTTAGGTGGAGATAGAAATTGAACAACAAAAAAAACCCGTAGGTAAGACGACAGGTAGGGCTGAGAGTGAATCTGAGACCTAAGGCTCACCAAATACGAGAGCCCAGAAGACAGCTCTGCAGTCAGCATCCGGGTGGGATTACTGTCCTTCTTTTTATTGGTCGATTCTCTGAGGTTGATGATGGCTTTTTTATACGAAGTGTAAAAGGAGAAAACATTAACCGGTACTACAACATTTGGGGGTGGTTCTTGTTTTCCAAAGGACGGTCAGAAAAGGTCTCTCTGCCAGGTAGACACCGAGCAGGGAGCAGACAGAGCGAGGCTTTAAACCTCCCGGACATGCAGCGGAAGTGGGGTCTGGACAGAAGGGCCAAGGCTCTGAAGCAGCGCTGTGGGGGGAACGGGAGGGGACAAGTTGGGCCGCCTGTGGGGCCAGAGTAGAGGGTGAGGAAGAGAATAGTAGGAGATGAGGTGAGAATAGTTTCTTCCACAAAATGAGGAGAGAAGACATAGAACTGGGCCGATTCTCTGCCCCCGCAGTGGTCCCCACCTCTGTCTTCCCAGGAGGAAGTCTGGGCAGGCATATCTGAGGGCTCTCCTCCCTCATCAGGGGTGGTCATTTGTCTCTAGTTCCTGGGGGCCAGCGACCTGCCTGATTACCACCAACATCTTCCTGAGCCAGAGCTGGTTGCACAGGGCAGGAAGGCCATCTCCCTAGAAGCTGCCCTAGTAAACACAGAGCAATTTCAGGAAGACTCAAGTGTTAAAACCCCGTTCCTCAAGGATCATCTTCAGGTCTCGAGTCCCACCAGCCACCTACTTTCCCACGATCCCGTGAACCGTGTCCAGGTTCCAGCAGTTGCTACCTCTTGGCCAAAGGCAGCTGGCTCATCAGCCTCCCTCTAACAAGCCCTATTCTTTCATGGGCAGTCAGCGCTGAGTGTCCCTAAGAAACCTCGGACTGTCTTTGGCCAAACACAAGTGGGGGAAAAGGGGCGGGAGGGGACACACTCAAGGCGTTTGCCCTGGAGCCAGAGCTCAGGTGTTTTGACCTCACCTTGACTGAACCTGCATGGGAAGAACTCTGCGTCTCACCAGGTCTGAGATCTTTGGTTCTCGGCAGGCTAGAATGAAGGAGACAAGAGGGCATCAGCTTTTGCCATATTAAAGGCTCACGTTCATTCAGTTCAGATTCATCCCTGACCGCCCTTTCTGGACACCCCCAGAGGTCTCAGAGGGGAGGTATGCCAGCGGGTGTGGAAAGCTCCCTAGCAAAAGAGCTCACTGCCTTTTGTCAAAATTGACAACCCCCTCTGAACAACACCCATGGGGGACGCACTTCTGAAAAGCCACTCCACCTGGGTGACGTGAAACCTTGGCTGTGGGACTATCTGTTCCCACAAATGGCATCGGTGAACTTGATGGAAGGGATGGAAGGTGGAGTCACAGTCAAAAGTGAAGGTTCTAAAATAGAGCCCAACACAGGGAACTACAAGACTCCCATTTAAGACCAGATGGCAGCGTCATCTTGGGTAGTCTTGGGTAGCTGATTCCTCTAGTTCCTTCCTCTGAAATAGAGGCTCCTAATGATCATTTGAGGGCACCTCAAAGCCCAGGCTTAATTTTGCTGAAGTGTCTCTTTCTTCACTTTCCCAATCAAGCGGCCAACATTCGTCTAATTAGCAAACTAGAGAACTTTGGTTGTTATTAATTTGTAAGAGAAGAGTTGACAAAAATCTCCAAGGACATATGAAACACCGTTTCCATACTTAATGAAATCAAGAATCGGAGTCTGTGTTGGTGAGGAGGAAGGTCGCTTCTGGCTAAAGTCTAAAGTGATTTATTCCTTTCACAAACCTTCCTCTTTCATTTCTTTTCCCATGACTTGGGTTGTTGACAAACACCCAGAAGGGAAAGTGGAGGATTAAGGCAATTATCTGGATAATCTAGGCCAAGGACATGCTTTTCTTCCTAGGAAACAGCCAGATAATTGTGACCTGCCCCCAAAATACAGGGGCTGTTGACCTGGTTCAGTAAGAAACTATGCATCCCCACCGCCAAGGGGTAAGTTTGAAGGTTCTATATACAACGTTCCATGTTTTCTGGTCCCAAACCAACCTTTTCAATCTACTTCCCGGAATCCCTGTTGGCCCTACTTTGAGTTTACCATGATCCTTTCACTTCTGCCTATACCTTTTATTTTCCTTTGTCTTCTGTGACAGGAACATAGTCCCAGCTGCTCTGCACCTCTTGTGAACGCTTCCCCACCTCCCAGATTGGCTTGGCCCCCACTGGGCCACATACAACTGTCCCTATTTCAAGCAATAGTGATCATCTCTTTCTCTCAACACACACTGCTCATTCATTTCCTCTAACTCTGCCTTGAATGCTGGAGGTCTTGCCATCTTAGTAAGATGTTTTTCTTTATGTTAACATCTTAAACCTCCCACCACGCAGGCTGGCAGGGATAGTGTGCCTGTTTTGTTCTTTTATTTCCTGCGCCAACTTCCTATTTCATAGAGAGTAGATAAATGTAGCTATTTTGGACCCCACTGATGGCCTCGATTTTGACCTTGGGTTTACGTAGATAAAACCCAGCCCTGTCATCTTTTCTAAACTGCTCTGGTAATTTTCTAACTCTTCTTGATCACAGTGAGAAGCTGTGATTAGGAGAAGCAGGTCTTCTGGAGGTCCAAAAGAGAAGCATATGTTTTCAGGGATGGCTTCCCACCTAGGAGTCATAGATGGTTCCAGTGAGAACCTAAGAGGGAATGGCATTTTTTTCAGGGGCTCACACACATGTAGGGAGCTTCCAAGAGGTCCAACAACTCCATCTATGTCACAAATACTCGTTCGTTACCTTTTATGCAGATGGGCTGTTTCCCTGACCACTCTCCATTCTGCTGGCAAGTTCTCTTCTCATTGCCACTAAGAACGTACGAGTTATTACAAAAGAAGGACACGACTGTGCCAACTTTGGCATAGTGCCCATTGATAAGTCCAGGGCCTCCTGTTACCTTCTTGTACCCATTAACTGGACCCCCGGGGTCTGAGCAGTTACTTTCTTCAAGGACTAAAAGAGAAAATAAAAGGGAGAGAAATAACTATTAAAAGTGTGAAGCATTCCATTTTAGAACCGGATCTTTTCATGTTTCACTGAATTAAAAATGCAGTGATGTGGAGCCTGGCAGCCATGGTGCCCAGAGGAATCAGCAAGACAAAACTCGTAACAGAAAATGTATGTGTTAGACATGTCCTCCCCTTGTTTTAACGATCTATTCTTAAATCAAGAAGTATTTCATTCCCCATATAAATAAATTTGACACAACTAACTCTCCTGTGGTCTTGTTCATTTCTTTCTGGAGCTGTGGGAGCTGGGCAGGCCTGGACAGCAGAAACATCGCGCCTAGATTTTACAATCAGTACACAGGGATGATCGTTTTCCAGTGTCATTGTATTATCTCCTTCATTCCCTAAAGCTGGGGCAATTAAACTAGAGTCCTCAGTTTCCTATTTGTGTTGTACCCAGAAAGCAGAATTTACTAGAGACAAGGCTGCATAGACGAAATGAATTTAGATTTTATGTTTCATCTTCAGGGACACAAGTGTGCTGAAATGTATAGTTCAAAAATACCAGATGATAGAGGGGCGTCCGTGTGGCTCAGTCGTTAGGCATCTGCCTTCGGCTCAGGTCATGATCCCAGGTCCTGGGATCGGGCCCTGCATCAGGCTCCCTGCTCTGCAGGAAGCCTGATTCTCCCCCTCCCTCTGCCACTCCCCCTGCTTGTGTTCCCTCTCTCACTGTGTCTCTCTGTCAAATAAATAAGTAAAATCTTTAAAAAAAAAAAACCCAGATGATAGAAATTCAGAGATACGAAGTTCCCCTGATCTCCAAGTACACACACTTTCCCTCTAAACGTTTAACAATATTCATTACAAAGACATTTATTTTTTAAAAGAAAAAAAGATTTGAGAGAGAGACATGAGAGTGCAGGGATGGGCAGGAGAGGGGAAGTTCAAGCAGACGCCATGCTGAGCATGGAGCCTGATCCAGGGCTCGATCCCATGACCCTGAGATCATGACCTGAGCTGAAATCAAGATTCGGGCGCTTAACCAACTGAGCCACCCAGGTGCCCCCCAAAGGCATTTCTATTCTCTAACTCAGGTTGGACAGTCACACAAAGTAGAAGAGGCAACACCTGCTATTCTGAGCACTGAACAGGATACTAGACAAATCCTGGAAAGATTCCCTCACATAGGGCACCTGGGTGGCTCAGTGGGTTAAGCCTCTGCCTTCAGCTCAGGTCAAGATCCCAGGGTCCTGGGATCGAGCCCCACATCCAGCTTTCTGCTCAGTAGGGAGCCTGCTTCCCCCCCGCCCCTCTGCTTGCCTCTCTACCTACTTGTGATCTCTCTCTGTCAAATAAATAAATAAAATCTTTATAAAAAAGATTCCATCGGATAACATATTTTTCTCAAATGGATTATGGCACAATGGTGACTATTATGCCCTAAGGACACAGAGTAGGACCCCTGAGGAATTCAGTCATTAATTACTAGGTTTGGGTACCAATTGCTATCAGGCTCCCTGGTCTCTTTTTAATCATTTCTTCTAAGATAAAGTCTCATCCCTGTGAAACAGTCCCCAAGCAATGTGATCGTGCTTCTGACATGCTTTTCTTCCCATAACTGCCCCGTTACCTTTTAAGCAATGTGTGTGCTTGCCTCCAGGCAAGAAAAGAATCTCCGTCCATATAACATTTCTAAAATATTTGAGAACTAAAAATTAGTAAATTTCCCCATGGGCAACTTAGCAAGGTTGCTGATATTAACCAAATTACTGGTTTGTCTACTCTATGATTATCCACAGACCATGTGGCAGAGGATTTCAATGATATCCTGTGTGCTTTGGGGCTACTTAGTATGAGCAGTTTCCATGGTGGGAGAAAACTCCAGAACCCCATTTTAATTGTAAAAAATGGACTTCACTAAGGGAGTCTTCCAAAATACCAACATGGCCTAGGGAGGGCAATGTACTTTTTGAAATTTCAAGTGCACAGAGAAAGCCCAGTACTCCAAAAAAGTCTCTATGATGTGGTGGAGGGGAAGAGGCAGAGAAAGGAGAAAGCATTCCATATTGCTTCAGTGATGGGACTACCTTCTTTTTTGAAAACAGGTTTTATTTATTTATTTTAGAGAGAGAGAGAGAGAACAAGCACATGAGTGGGAAGAGCAGAGGGAGAGGGAGAGAGAGAATCTCAAGCAGACTCCATGCTAAGCATGGAGCCCTACACATGAGGCTCAATCTCATGACCCTGAGATCACAGCCTGTGGCAAAACCAAGAATCAGTTGCTTAACCGACAGAGCCACCCAGGTGCCCCTGGACTACCTTCTTAGGCAGAGGCTCACTGAATACTAAACACGTAGCCCAAAAAACAAGCAGCAGGAGCCCACAGCTGCAACCATCTCAGAAACATGGTGTGTCATACCTGCAAGTTTTAGAAAATGGAATTCACTGCCAACATCAAAACCAGGAGATTGCACATAAAAATCTGTATTACTGGCTTCTGAAAAAATTCAGATATGGCAACCCTGGGTCTGTATGGCCACATGGCAATAATCAGCTGCCACTGAGAAGTGGCCGTCTGCTGGCCCTGGGGCTGCAGGCTTCCCTTGGCCACAGCCCCTGCCTGCTGCCTGGCCCAGGCAGGGCTAGACTCTGTGGTCAGTTAACCTCACAAAGAGCTATGCTCTGTGCAATGCAAGCTGAGTTCCTCCTCCATTTTGAGTTTTATTTGCCAGAGCTCATGGCTAAGAAAAATTCAGGTGATACTCAAGGCCAGTCCTGAAATACTGAAAGAGAATAAACTACACTCCAGCCACGCTGGCCTCAGCAGAAGGTAAGCAATCCCTTCTACTGTGAGCCTGAGAGATGGGCTTTCCTTCTTTTGGAAGTAAGGACTCTATGGTCCTCCAGGCTCCTGCCCTATGTTTCCTAAGTGCAGAATTCTTGAGGATCCTATTGCTAACTGCGTTTAATATGGGTTTAACCATCAGGAACGCTGGAGAGTTTACAAGCCTTTGGAGGTAACAAAGCCTTAGGACAATTCAGGTTATCTGTCTTTCTCCCTGATGAGGCCTTAAAAAGAAAGTTAAAGAGAAACTGAGTCAGGATGTATAAACAAGTCTGCCCAAGGCTGGGGAATTTTGCCCTGTTTCTAGAATTCTTAGATGCCTACTCTTTTATAATGAGACATGTCTGAAATCAGGTCACGTGTGTACATTTCATGCAGCACGTCTTTACTTCCAACTCTCAGAGAAGCTATGATTAAACCAACAGTGCACCTTAAACTTAATGAGATCTTAGAATGGAGAACTGTTATTTGATTTTGAGTTATTGCTTCCTAGTGCCGAATGATGCTTCCGAGTTGGGGTCCAATGGAAGGTAAGGCTATGCGGCTGGGGCACGTGGCCGGCTCAGTCACAAGGGCATGGGATTCTGAGCTCAGGATTCTAAATTCTAGGCCCACATTAAGTGTAGAGATTACTTAGAAACAAAATCTTAAAAAAAAAAAAAAACAACGTGGCTAAAATTTAAGAGAAACACAGGCAAGAGAAAGAGATTTAGGAAGGATTCAGATGCTATCGTTGTCAGACACTACTTGAAAATAAATATGCTGAGCATGCTCAAGGAAATAAAACAGAAAACTGAGAACTTCAGTATAACACTGGAAACCTTAGAAACTAACCAAAGGAGCAATCTAGAATTGCAACGTGACAATGGCAGAAATGTAAAGCTCAGTGGGTAAGTAGAACGGCAACTCACATACAGCTCATGCATATTAATAGGCGGATACATAACTTACAAGAAAGAATTCAGAATGAAGCCCAAGAGTTTAAAAAGTGGAAAATGTACAGGAAAATGTAAAGAAACAGTGAGAAGGTTAATAAAAGCATGTACCTGACATTCCAGGAAAAAGGAATGGAGTAAAACCAGCAGAAAAAGTCCCTCCAACTGATAAAAGACATCCACCTACAGATCCCAAGACAGGGAAATGTGAAGAAAACCGCACAGAAACCTATTACCCAAAACTGCTAAAAGCCAAAATCAGAGAAAAAAATGTTAAGCTGCCAAAGCTGGGAGAAAAATGGACGGAGAGAAACATACTTTGAGATAATTATAGTCATTATCTCCAGCTTGTAACGTCAAAATGATTTTTGCCTCTTTATACTTTTTTCCCTCTGTTTGATAATCAGAACATGTAACCATAAAATTTTGTTGTTTGTTATTTTTGTGGTTGTTCGTTATTTTCAATTTTTAAAGTAGCAGTCAAAATGGTTTGGGTCCTCCCTGCTCAGCCCATAAACCTAGCCTTCAGTCTGCTATGCACGGTTTTTGACGTTCCCGTACCCTCCACACTGTGGGCATCTCATTACCATCATCATAGAGTAATCCAACTTCTCTCCAGCTCTGATGGGAATGAGCTCTTTCACTAGACTCTGGGGGACAAAGAACGGCTGCCAGGATCAGAAGACACAGGTTCAAATAATTATTTGGTTCCCAGTGTCCAGAGTAAGTACACAGTAGGTCTTCAATAAATACTTGTTAGTAGATGGAAGGGGTAAAGGGTAAAATGCATTCATTCTGGTTCTGGTTCTCCCATGAAACAGAGCATGGGAAAATTACATAATTCTCCAAACCTTGCTTTTCTGGTCGGTAAAACAGGATAATAACACTCAGCAGGCTGAGCTGGTTTTGAGGAATAATTTACATAACACGTAGTCTCCTTTACCCCTGTTTGCCTTTATTTACAAAGCACCCAACTTCTTTGAAAAATCAATTCCTCAGGGCACCTGGGTGGCTCAGAGGGCTGAGCCTCTCCCTTTGGCTCGGGTCGTGATCTCAGGGTCCTGGGATGGAGCCCCAAGTCAGGCTCTCTGCTCAGCGGGGAGCCTGCTTCCCTCTCTTTCTCTGCCTGCCTGCCTACTTGTGCTCTCTCTCTCTCTCTGTCAAATAAATCAAATCTTAAAAAAAAATCAATTCCTTGGAGTGCCTGGGTGGCTCAGTGTT